CAGCTAGCCATGCTGGCTGGAGAATTCTGGGAGTTGAAGTCCACTCATCTTAAAGTGGCCAAGTTTGGACAACACTGAGTTAAAGTCTCATGGGTTGGAATACAGCAAGATTTGTATTCTTTGCATGAGTTTCGCAGCTTGTTTGGAAGCACTATGTTCTGCATTCAAGGAAGTTGCTGAACTGCAGGGTCATCAGTTGCCAAAGCACAGGAGCAAAAAAGGAACAGTTTTTGAGCGGTATAAATGTTCTCACTGATGTTTAGGGGTTTTGAGCCTTGCAACCAATGTTAGCTCAGTCTATCAGTAAGGAAAAATTTAAAAAGAATCTGGTTACATAATGTAATCAACAATAAATTAAGGTTGTTAAGAGTAAAAGTGCACTAATTATTCAGGTATAACTGGACAGGCCCTCTAGCAAAAAGAATCCATTTTACTTTTATTTATTGTTGCAAAACCATCATTGCAAAGCCAGGTTTAGAAGGTTATGGGAGTTACTTAAGGTGATTATCAATTACTGTACCTGCACAGAGAAACTACAAAAAAACATAAAGTGCATTGGAATGGAGCCTTTGCCTGAAAAAAGATCGACCAGGCAATCAACTGATTTCCTGTATCCTTAAAGACATTTTGTCATGGCCTGGAAAAAAATTCTGTTTTTTCCATTACATTTCATGAATCCAAGTGCTAGAAGGGCTATGCAGCCTAGTGTCCTCCAGATGTTTTAGATTATAAAAGCTATAATTATAACTCTTATAATTCAATACTGGCAGGAGCAACGGAGCTAAAATATCAAGTATCAGGAAGAAGACAGATTACTTCAAAGTAAATATTACTGAGTGGACGGGTGCTGACTCTTAAATAAAGATTGTCATTGACTGAGCAGGCTTTCATTCGTGATTTGTTTGCAGCTCTGATAACAGGGCAACTGCAAACTCAAGACGGTGGCCATGACTATGCAGTTGAAATCCTGTATCTTTTAATGGAGCTTCACTCACACGGTTATGGTGCCATCATGACAACCCACTTCAATGGGAATCATTTCGGACTGCATCTTCAAACACTTCAAGTGTGTAGTAAACAACCAAAATAGGTTGGTCCACTGAATGCATCCATACATGAACTGAAACAGATTGAACATCTGGTGCATCTTGTGGTAGAAAGACAGGAGAGACAGACAGACAGACAATAAAAACAAGTAAGAGCAAGGGAAAATAAAATAGGAGACTCAGACAACCTCTTCGTATAAATCAAATGGCAAGGAGACATTTCTGTTAACAATGGAAAACTGCCAATTGCATGAGAACATATACAAATTTAACTTTAAAGCAAATGCTCTGAATTTCTTTTCTTAGAATTTCTTAGAATTATTGGTATGCAAAGAAGAATGTTTTTTACTCTTCTTCAACAATTACTTGGCTTTAATGGCACATACAAAGTAGAAGCAGCTAGCACTGAGTCGGGAAGAAAATGTTCGTGGAGAATCTGGAAATGGGGCATTTTTTGTGTGACTCAGTGTCAACAGATGGGCAAATGGGGAGGATGATGGCATCAGGTTAAAATAAGAATTAGCACGTACCATCTTTCATTTCTTATTGATATCCATGTTTGACTTGTTAATATTTTTGAGCATCACTTTAGTATCTTATTGTATTTTAGAATTAATCAGCTTGAACAATATTTCATTGGGAAGGATATAAAAGTATAAAACAAAACGTTTTCATACATTGTGATAAGCCGCAGTGTAGTTTACTTAGCTTTAGCTTAGTAAACTCACACATTGGGGTATTGCACAATCTAGCCGGTGATGGTTGAGTCAGTATACCATGGTTAAACAGGTCACAGCTTAGTGCAATGTTTTTCAACCTTGGCAACTTGAAGATGTGTGGACTTCAACTCCCAGAATTCCTTTGGCTGGCTGGGAATTCTGGGAATTGAAATCTACACATCTTAAAGTTACTAAGGTTGAAAAACACTGACTCAGTGAGATAATTGAATCCAGCCTTTATGTATGTATTACCTATAAAGTCAGAAGACAAAGAGGTGGATATAGTGGCAGTCACTCCATATTACTCACGTTCCCTTTTTTTACAGATGCTAAAATCCTGGATAAGCATGCTTTGTATGCAACACAATTTATATCTGGACCATGTTTTAGAAGGTAGCTACGACTGTATTGAGAGAATGGCAAATTCAACTTGAATTAAATATGGGCTTTTGCTAAATTTCTCAGACTTTGACAAGAGAGAGTATTAGCTGAAAAACAACCCTAGATTGAGCAACCTGCTCAGAATTTGGTCAGAGCTTTATCCAATTTTACCAAGTGAGATTGTTTGTACAGTAAACACATACAAAACCTGATTTGAAACACATTTTTCAAAGCCTGAAATTATAGGACTAACGGTTTTCTAACAAAACAACAGATACAGTTCTTAGTTTTAAAACAAACTGGATTTGATGTAAGATTTGTTTATGCCAAATTTGATGTCTGATAGACTTTTTCTTTAATCATGTTAGTTCACTGACTATTCAGAATTGAATAATGTGTAAATGATATATTTCTAAACTGTAGGAAAAAGAGCCAGTTGGGAGTAGTGGTTAAGACACCAGGCTGGAGACCATGACCTGTTGTAGTCCTGCCTTAGGCACGAAGCCACCTGTATGACTTTAGGCCAGTCCTTTTCTCTCAGCCCTTGGAAGGAAGAGGCAAGGGTAAACCACTTTTAAAAAAATCTTGCCAAGAAAACTGCAGGGATTCATAACTGTAATTACTAGAGTCAAGACTGCTGCAATACCTACCTTCAGAAGTCCTTTATTGTTAGAGGTACCTAAGTTTTGGCAGCGATTCAGAGAGAATTATAAGGAAACAACAGATGCCATAAACCAGGGTAGATATTAGGCCAACTCATCTTTCTTACATGAGGGACACAAGAAATATTAGTGAGCAGCTGGAGAGCGTTCAAGGTCACAGAGCAGTGTTTAGTTTGTAAATCTAAAGACAGGGATTGTTTTTACTCATCTGTCAATCATCCTGGGAGCCTCAGTCTGAAAAGCAGGATAAGGAGAAAAACCTAAAATAAGTGGTTTCTCAGAAGGGCCTTGCGAATTCAATCTGGGTGGTTAAAAATTGATATACAGTATGTGTATTTTTTAAGTGCATGTTCAAGGATCAATGGTTGGTTCTCCTTTTCAGTGAAAATGAGAATCAAAGCAAGCAGGGATAATTAACGTAGAATAATTCAGTCCCTCTCTTATTTGCAGGAATGGCACCTGTTCTGGGCTGCAAAAATCCAGACCACCGGTTGGCATCAAAGTGGTATGGAAAACTCAAACCTCAAAGGGCATCTGGATTCTTGCAGCTCAGATTTGGTAGCTGTAAAGGGGAGGATAACGGGCAAGGCTGCACACAGGCTGTCCTGGTTCACACGACAAGCCATGCTGTAATGTGGCCTGTTCGGTTTGGGTTTCAGGCATTGGGCAAACGCACCCATTGAGGTTTATCGCTAAACCTGTGAGTTAGTTGTAAAGCAACACGTGCTACAGAAATTATGGCTTAGTGTGGGGGCAGCAGCAAGGAAGGTACATGTAACCACATACAGGTATCCTCTGCTACATTGTCAGGACAACTGACCCATCTGTTAAAACCGCTTGCACATCCTGGCCTGCAAGAAATAGTTACCCCAGTAAAATTAAGGCCCCTTAAATCGTGACACTTTCCATAGACAGCTTTGCAACGTCCATCTCCCCCCCCCCCCCACGACAGCAGTGGTGCAGCCTCTTTCCCTCCAGGCAGGTGAATGGACACCGGACAATACCAACCAGCTGAGAGGGGGGAAGGGGACGGGAAATGCCTGTAGCCTCTACTCCCGTCCCCGCAAAGCTGGGTGTTTTGAAACGGGGAAGCTCCCGCTGCTCTGGGAACAGGGGTGGAGCGAAGGCAAAA